TGATGACGTCTTCCCCCTTCCCCCTCTCTCCTATCCCTCTATTCCTATCTTTCTTCTCTCCTCTGCTTCCCACTCTTCCTCTAATTCACTTGGTGTGTTTCAGCATCTGAGCAAAAGTATATTTTGTATATTTTGGATTGCAGTGGCGACTTTTCAGAAAATCTTATAATTAAATGGAAAAGAATTAAGATGTCATCAAAGGCTTATATTGAAATGGGCATTTTCCCTAACCGTGAAGTTACTCCCATTTCTGTAAATAGGAAATGGGTAAGCAAGCTTTCATTCTTAGAAGATAAGGGGAGTTGGCTTTAAAAGGTCACTTTTGGTTTATAGATAGTCAGTTTTCTAATTTCTCCATGGATGGAGAAAAAGCTCTGTAGGTTCCATCTCAGTTCCACAGCCATGGGCAAATTCTGTTCTGGGACATGAAGCCAGTCTTGGACATGTTTGCTGGCCTTGAAAAATGATGACCCAGGGTTTCTATGCGAAAGAAGGACACCGTAGCACTCTAGAATCCGGGTCAGCAGAATTTTGGAGGGCAAGAAGGACGACAGGAATAAATAGGGAATGAGTCAGGCAGAGGTGAGCTAGGAGATTTGGAAGCACCTTGCTGCAGAAGCAAGTTAATTTCTCACATTGCAGATGTTCCATAATAAGTCAGGTTGTGATTACTTAACAAGAAACAACTTCAACAAAGGCATTAAAACACAGGCCCACAAAAGCCCGATCTAGCCAAGGAATGTGGTTGGGGTGCATCCCCTTTCAAACTTCTCTATTTCCCCATAACAGTTATTTCTATAATTCCTGACTCCTACACAAACCACTCAGATTGCTTCTCTTCCGTCTGCTGAGAGCATTAAAATAACGTTGCATTATATTAAAGGCCCATCTGCCTCACTCTTCTAGGGGCAGAGTTGCTAAGCCAATGTATCCTGAAACCTTTCAGGTTTTCAAGGCAAAGAGGTCCTTTCTTCTGTTATCCCACTGCTACCGTGGATTTAAGATAAATTCTCTTTCAAGATGAGGTTCACTTTCCAAACCATCTGAATGAGTGACTTTTGTTGGCACCTGCTGGCAATCAGTTCCATAATTATGCATCTACTGTAACGCTCTCTACATGGGGCTGCCCTTGAAGAGCAGCCAGAAGCTTCAACTGGTCCAGAATGCAGCTGCGTGGGTTATCATGGGGTCACCTAGGTGCTGCCATGTTACGCCCCTTTTAGGCGGCCTGCACTGGTTTCCGGTTGTCTTCCGGGT